ATGGGGATGGTTTTGATCTCAGCCCAAGTTTTGCCTCTTTTGCCACACACACACCTAGTAAATGGAGTAGCATAAAGGCCCTGCCATGCCATCTGGTGGTTTTAATCATTAGATTATCTTTCCCCACAAACTACAGTGATTGATGTAGAAGCTTAAGTCTTGATTTAGCCTCCCACACTGCTCAGGTTTTTTTTTTGGCACTGGGTATGGTACCCTGGGGCACTCAATCACAGAGCCACATCCCCAGCCGCCCCCTTTTTTTGTACTTTATTTAGAGACAGGGTCTCACTGAGTTAGGGCCTTGCTAAGTTGCTGAGGCTGGCTTTGAACTCGAAATCCTCCTGTCTCAGTTTCCTGATCTGCTGGGATTACATGTGTGTGCCATAGCGCCTGGTGTTCTCATTCTTTTTTTTTTTTTTTAATTTTTTAATATTTATTTTTTAGTTATAGGTGGATGCAATATCTTTGTTTTATTTTGATGTGGTGTTGAGGATCGAACCCAGTGCTTCACGCATGGTAGGTGAGCACTCTACCTCTGAGCCACAACCCCAGCCTCTCATTCTTAATGAGACTAAACATGCCATAATTTGATAACTGAGGAAACTACTAGGATAAGAAAGGAAGCTTTACAAAATAAGATGGTGTTGTTCTTGTGGCTGTCCAAAGTGTTGTATGTGCAGCCTTAGGGACAGAATGCTGCATGTATACATCTGATAATGGACAGAATTACTCACACTTAAACCCATGTGTCTAAACAAATTAAAGCCATCTTAAGTACCTTAGCATGTTTGCTGATAGGTTCTTGCTCTTTGTACTGCTATTTTAAGATATAGACGCAATTTACCTCTGGAACCCTGCCCCAAGGGATTTTTTTTTTAACACATAAAACAATATTAGATTGTGAGAGATATGAAGGGGCTTCTGAGGCACTGAAGGGGTGGAATATTGGATTAAATTCTAATCAATGCCTGGGAAAGCTTGTAGTAAGAGAAGACCTCCAAAGAATGTGATGATGAAAGAAATGGAGAGGGGGAAGCTGGCCACTTCCTTTATCTTCAATCTTTAGAAGAGGACCTGAACAGAATGACACTTATTGTACGCTAAAGAAATATACTCATAAAACAACGGAGAAATTCACCTGTACAGTGGGCATGCAACTTATCCCATATATTCCCCCTGTTTGTAGGTGTGGTGTGTACAGTCTGTTGCCATGAAAAGTATGAGTAATAAATTGTGCAAAACCTCCCTTTTGAGTCATCCAAGTTCTTTCTTTGGGATCAGTAAACAGTGCACTGGGGTAATTGCATCCCTGGGCTGAATACCATCTTGTTCACAACTGTACTCCCGGCACCCAGGACAGTGCTTGGTAAATAGTAAGTATATACTCAGTAAACATTTGTGGCATAATTTAATAATGGAAAAAGGGGGGATAAGATTCTTTTGTTTTGAAAATTTTTATTAGTTATTGATGGACCTTTATTAATTTATTAGTTTATATGTGGTGCTGAGAATCAAACCTAGTGCCTCACACATGCTAGGCAAGCACTCTACCACTGAACCACAACCCTAGCCCCTGGGATAAGACTCTTAATCATTCTTTTTTAAACATACATATTAATTTCAATAATCAGATACATGGCTCTTCTACTTAAAAGAATTCATTGCTCAGTGTCTCTTGCCTGTCTTACTATTTTAAGATGCTTCTGCCCTTAAAGCTGATATGGTTTCAAAATTAAGAAGAAAATAAAAGCTCTCATTTTCTTATGTTCTGATAATATCAACTTATAGTTTTGGGTGTTGGTAAGTCGATGAGAAGGTGTTTAGGTTCTGCCCAAGAGTAAGCTGCAGCATGTGCACTCACTACACTCTTGCAGGCAGGGAATACACATCTCTGAAGAGAGGAACCCAGGAGACCTGAGGTCTGAGCCCATTGTGGTTCAATTTCAGTGCCACAGAATTGGATTTGTTTGCTTATTGTGTGGTTATTTAAACCAGGTCCATTCCAGCCTCTCATCAAGGAATGTGGAGTTAGAAGACTAGGGTCTGAGGGGCTTCCTATGAGACCTTCGTTTTGTTGCTCCCGTCGATGAGAGGCATTCTGAGTCACTGCCTTACTCCTTTTCTCCCTAGTGACTAATTTATCAGTAGACTTTTGATGAGCTGAACTTCAGAAACAAAGCCTGCCCAACATGTTTCTGGTTGAAGTAGTGATTAATGGCTGCTGAAAACATTGAAAGCAAAGCTTATCTGAGCAAAGAAAGCCAAGTACTGGTATTTAATTTATTTAAAACAGGTTTTCCCTATGTTGCCCAGGCTATCCTGGAACTCCTGGGTTCTTGAGTAGCTGGGACTACAGATACATCACTGCCATAACTGGCTTGATATTTATCTTTGAAGTGCACATTTTAATAAAAGTACTTCACTCCATGAAGGAGTTGTCAATAATAAACAAAGCTGGCACTAAAATGTTAAGGCAAGATTTTATTAGTATTTTTTCCAAAACAAAGAGAGTACAGTATGAACTGAACTCTATTTCCCTGAAACAAAAGGTGGGAGATGTTTTAAATGCTGTTGTGTTATAAAGGAAAGGCACTGCAGGCTCTAAAGTGTGTGTGTGTGTGTGTGTGTGTGCGCGCGCGCGGGGTGCATGACAGAGGGGAAACAAATTTCTATCTTAACCACAGGAGACAGTGGTGCAAATTGAAACAGGGCACTTCTCACAAGTATTCAAGATTAGTGTGAGTTATGTTACATTGTTGTAGGGACAAACAAGGCAAGGCACAGAAGATAGCAGGAAACAGTTTTATTTGGCTGCAGCCAGGTTCAGAGAGTACAGCCTTTGCTGTAATCAATCAATACCCTGAACCCCGAGTTCAGGGAGTTTCGGAGTTTTATACCCAGCATGTAAGGGGAGGGGCTCAGAAGTTCACAGTCTGCAGAAGTTCACATAAAAGCAGCTTTTTCTTTCACTGTTCTGGGCATGTTAACTCTTCAAGGACAACACCTGAGAAGGGGAGAGCTTCTTCTCTTCTTTCTATCCTCCCCCTGCCAGCGGTTACCATGGTGCCCATTTGTAACTTATCTTAAAAATTTAGATGTCTCTGTGAAGCCCAGCTCAAGGCCAGAGGCCTTGTTTTCACTTTTCTTCAAAATACTGTACTGGATACATTTGTGAAAAATTAGTAAGGGGGTGTCCAGCACCTGGAGTGCTTGTATCTTCCCGGCCAGTGGCCAAGTAAATAGGGTGAAACGAAAATAGGAAGTTTATCTACAATGGACTCTGTTGCTGACAGTACTAAAATCAGCCATGGTGAAGAGGGCTTTTTTGTGGAGAAAGGGGGTGCCACTTCAACATCTCAAAGAGATGGGGCTCAAGTCCACAGCAAACAGGGTTGGGTGGTAGGAAAAAAATTTATAATTAAGCTTTCTAAAGTTATAGCTCTGGGGCTGTCTGGGAAATTGAGGCAGCATAAAGACCCCTTTCAAACCCCGATTCTTGAGATTAAGTCAGAGGATTTAGACATGTTGCTCACAGTAACAGGCATGAGTTTCTTGAAGGGATACGAAAAGAGAAAAGCGAAACTCTCAAGGGAGAAAGTGGGTCTTTTCAGATGAGAGGGACAGTGTGCCTCCAGTTTTATTGGGGAGCTAAGAGATGTTTCCAGAGAGTCCCACCCAGGTCCACTTGTTGACTTTTGACTCACAGCAAGATAGCATGGCAATTTCAAATCCCCACTGCCATGGCAACTCTAGGTCACTTTGACCCATGCTGACAGGTTCTAATGGATTCTTAACCATGAATTCTTACAGATTTTATGGTTAGGAGGAACTACTCTTATCTTCCTGAGTTTTTGGGATCTGGTCTGTAAAAAGGGTTGCAAAAGTCTCCTTCTTCAGGGTAACTTGGGTTCCTCTTGTGGACATTATTTCAGGCCTGCGTTTCTCCTGCAGATAACAGGTAGTTTGCTGAGGAATGTAAAATATTCTGTCCACTTAAGCTGGGCTTCAAGTAAATTGCTTTTTGGAAAAGACAGCATGTGGGTGGTCAGCACAGTGGGCCCATTTTATAGAATTATTCTCCAAACCTCCTGTTACCACCATTCCCAGTTGTCTGTTCCCTATCAAGAGGAGTTAAGACACCTATCATATGACCGGGTTTTGTCAGGAACAACAGTAAAATTCTACTAGCTTTGTGTTCAGGCAGGCATTTCAAGAGGATCTGGGGTTATCTCAAGTACAAGCCTTTATGCTGCTGGAAACCATGGTATATAGAGGGTGATCAAATCTTAGTGCATAGATTTGGTCAGAGTCACTATGTGCCAAGAGTCCTGCAGCTTTCAGGAAAAGTGCTGTTTAAAATTTAACTGGCTTTTAAGATAGTCAAAGCTTTACAATGTCTGTGTCTGAACTGTACCCCTTAAATAGTGGATTATGTTTTTAAACATTACGAATTGACATATTAATGAGTTGATGAATATAAAAAATATAAACCAGACCATTAACTGCTTTGGACAACTTGGGTTTCCAACTTGGCTAATATCTGCTTTTCGACTTTATTCTCCAGGTTGTGTAACAACTTTACATCCTGTTTATTCAGCTGCGGGTTTCCAAGGGCCACACCCAGCAAAGCCCAGTGCAATTTACCAACTGGAGGGAAGGACTTGTTAAAGAAGGAAGAGAAACGCCTCCAGGTGCGTGGGCTCCAGGTTTCTTTCCTACTTCTTCTTACAACCACCGATTGTTCATCATATGACTACGAGCGCGTGGTTCTGCATTTCCTTCCTTAGAAAAAAGGGCAGTAAACTTTTCGCAAATCCCTTTCTTTCTTTCCCCTTTTGTCCCCTTCCAGTTCCTCCTTTCCAAGTCACCTTTTCTCTGGCTGTCAGGGTACTTCCCTCCGCCTCGTCGCGCGCCTGCGCCTGCGCAGATCAGGCCGTCGGCGAAGACAGGCGCTGCCAAGTTTGCACGGCCTTTGCTTTGCGACATGGCCGAAAAGCGCCGCCACGCACTTGGGACGTCACGGGTCCCGGGTGGCTGTTCTCGGCAGTTCACCCTGGTGTAGTCGGCGGTACTTGCTAGTGGGGATTTCTGTATAGCACTGGGGAAAGCGGCGGTTCGGGGAGAACTTCTAGTCTGTGTGTATTTTTAGATAGATGCAGCGGAAGAACCCGCGGGCTGCCGGGTCCTAGTGCCCGCTAGATACCCGGAGCCGGGGATTGGGCAGTGGGGCCGGCGGAGGCTGAGGCCCAAGCTAGGGTCGAAGCCGCCCGCGGGGCGCTGATGGCCGGACGCTCCCTGCGTAAGGCGTTAGCCACGGTGTCTCTCTCAGTAGCCTTGGCCTCCGTGACTGTCAGGTCCTCAGGCTGCCGCAGTATCCCGGCGTACAGGTATTCACCACTCCTGGTGCTGACCCCTATCCGGAGACCTTGGGTTGGGGGTGGGAATCAGCTTCCTTTCCGGCGTATTCTGTAGGCTTTACTTATGACCCCGATTTACGCATCCCTATACCCAAAACAAAAACAAAAGAAAACAAAAATCTTCAAAATGTATTAGTTGTTTTTTTGGGGAAAATTAGTTCTGGGACCTTTATTAACCCCTGATTTTGAAATTTGCCGTCTTTTGTAAGTCACCAACATTGTGGTCATCAGAGCGTTAAGCGCTTGTTTGGATTCTGTTGCCCCGTGTCATTTTCTTTTCTGGTTAATATTTAAAACATCATGGACATTGGCTGTGTTTTACTAATATAAGTAGTCGTTGTTTTCTCTATATGGGAAGACTGATTGACTTTGGCTGTTTGTATCTGGCTCCTAGTCTGGAAGTTCAGTGGAGAGTGTGTGAGCTGGTACCAGGTGTACAGACCTGAACCCTTTAACCCTAGAATTTACAGTAGTATAGTTTCCTCAACTTTATTTTCTAGTGAGACTTGTAAAATTATTAAACCTGTTTTTTTCTTGTTTTCTAACACCAGTATTAATGGTAGGGGTCCCAGCTACCTCCCTTGTTTTTTAAACTTTTGACTTTATCCTGGGAATAAATAGCTATTGCCAACTTTTGGTTTTCATTTGAATAACTTCCATGGTTATTGTCTCACTGCCCACTTAACAAACTTTGGGCTTACTGACTTCAAATTTGAAATCTCTTGGCTTCTCTTGTTGGGGTGGCATCTCTCACCCTTTTGTATATACTCCTAAATGTAATCTGTTCTACTCTGGCTTTTAGGCCATTATGGTTCTGGCCATTTGCCGTCTTCCTGAAATTGGTTAAAATCTCTTTACTAGTGGTGTTCCACTTATTCTGATAGTATGGATTTTATTTCCTTGTATACATCTTTTATCTTCTTCCAGTGGAATTTGAGAAGGAAGGAACACATGACAGTGGTATCTGGAAGTCACTAATTCTATTTTTGTTAGTTGCCCCTGGAACAATGTAAAGTTGCTTGGCAATTATTCTTCATTTTTATAAGGTGGGAACTCTAGAACCAGAGACTGCATACCAGCTTAGAAGAAAAACCCAGAAGTGAAGTCAACAAATGTGTGTGGAGTACCTGGTTTCTAATGTTGCAAAGCATCCTGGAGAAGACAAAAGAAATGTATTATTGAGAATTTTACCATTCTTGGTCTGGTAGGGTGGCCCATACCTGTAGTCCCAGCAGCTCGGGAGGCTGAGACAGGAGGATCCCGAGTTCAAATCCCACCTCAGCAACTTAGTGAGGCACTAAGCAACACAGTGAGACCCTGTCTGTGAATAAAATACAAAAAGGGTCTGGGCTCAGTGATAGTGTGCCCCTAAGTTCAATCCCTGGTATCTCTCCCACCAAAATTTACCATTCTTTAATAATTGGGGAAAATCCAGAAAGTGACAGTTTTTTTTTTTTTTTTTAAATATCTATTTATTTTTTTTTTAGTTTTTGGCGGACACAACATCTTTGTATGTGGGGCTGAGGATCGAACCCGGGCCGCACGCATGCCAGGCCAGTGCGTCACCGCTTGAGCCACATCCCCAGCCCAGAAAGTGATAGTTTTGCAGTTAGTTTTTTTGAGTTCACCAGTTTCAAATGTCTGTTTTCTACAAAAAGCAATAGTATTTGGATTGTTATGTTTCCAGGTTTCCCAGCAGGATCTACCACAACATACCTTGGTTGAGAACATTGTATATTTTGTCTCTGTGGGGGGGGAAAAAAAAAAAAAATATATATATATATATATATATATATATATGTCTGAGCTAAAGATTGAAATAGAGATAGTTTTGCATAGTGTTTAGAGCCTGAAACTCTGAGCCAGTTTGCCAGGATTTGGTTCTGATTCTGTTATCAGTTGTATGACTTTGGTAAACTTGCTTAGCCTCTCTGGGCCTTAATGTTCTTTTTTATTTTATTTTTTTTGTAGATGAGCCTTAATGATCTTATTTCTAAAAGAAGAATAATACCTAAACTCAGAGTTGAGGATCAAATGAGTTAATAATATTACAATATTTGGAACAATGTTTTTCACACACAGCATGCACTTACTATATATATGTAGTTATAACTATTATGATTATTGCAATTTTTTTTTTTTTTTTTTGGTTTAAAGCACATGTCACTATTACATTTCTTTTCTTCTTTTCTTTTTCTTTTTTTTTTTTTTTTTTAGTATTGGGGGATTGAGCCCAGGGATACTTAACCAGTGAGCCCCATCCCCAGCCTTTTTTGTATTTCACTTAGAGACAGGGTCTCACTGAATTGCTTAGGCCTCCGTAAGTGGCTGAGGCTGTCTTTGAACTCATCATCCTACTGCCTCAGCCTCCCAAGCCACTCGGATTATAGGTGTGTGCCACTGTAATAATGCCTGGCAATATTGCATTTCCTTAAATTTGCCAGTTTTGGTAACCAGTTTTTGCTTTGTAAGATACAAAGGTATTTAATTGCCTTTGGTAGGCCAAATAAATTTCTTGCATCTATTCAGTAATGCAGTTAAAAGAGGTCTAAGCTGTATATGTATATATGATAAGTATACTTGTTCTGATATCTTTTAGTATGTCAGAGTACACAGAAGATATAAATGGCATTAGTGCTTCTTTGTAGGGTAAGAGGAATTTTTGATGTTGTTCTTGCAAAAGTAAAATTATTTAGAAAAGTAAACAATCAGGTGTATTACGTTTTCTCTCGTTTGAGTCTGTAGCAGATTTTTGGAATTCCATATGCTTAACCTTGCTAAATCAGGGAACAGAGAACCCCAAATTACTTAGAGAACATTTTTTGTACATGTTGGGGGTAGAGTTTAACAAGATTCTTGTTTCTTGTGGACATTTTTTCCTTGCCCTGCTATCAAATCATGAAACAAAATTGTCATTTATAATAGGATTTATTTAGAGACTAGGGCTTCATATATTATATTATGCTTTTTAAATAACATACCTGAAATCTAATTTTGATAAATATGTGTTTCATATTTATACATTTTTATTGAGTATGAATTTAGAATCAGTGGGAAAGATCTTTTAAGAGTAGTCGTTATTTAGATTTCCAAAGTTGTGGCAGCTGAAGCAAGTAAGTTATCATAACATGAAAACAGTGAATGAACTTTTAATAAAGTTAGTCAAAAGTCGAAATTCTCTCACTTTTTGCTAGTGTTCATTCTCTCTGGGGATATTAATTTCTTTACTAGTTAGGCTTTCCCAGAATTTTGGGTGTTTGACAGTACTTCATGGATGCAAAGGGAATGCAAAATGAAATGGTGCTTGTTTCAAAGTCTTTAAATAGGATGAAAGACATCTTGAATTGCACAAGAGCTATAGACACAAGAATAGGAAAGATTTAAACCAATAAAAAATCAAGGAAGAGAAGACAGTGTGGCAGTTTTGTAGAAAACTAAACATAACTGTTATTGTATGACTCAGCTATCACAATTTTTGTTATTTATCCAAATTAATGAGGTTTTGTTCACACAAAAACCTGCACACAGATATCAGCTTTATTTAAAAGTGCCAAGACTTAGATGCAACCAAGATGTCTTTTGGTAGGTGAATGGGTAAATAAACTGTGGTACATCCAGATAATGGAATAATAAGTGCTAAAAAGTGAGTTATTTAAGCGATGGAAAGATGTGGAGGAATCTTATATGTCTATTACTGAGGGAAAGAAGCCAATCTGAAAAGGTTATCTGATTTAAACTATATGACAATTCTTGAAGGCAAAACTATGAAAACAGTAACAAGATCAGGAGTTGTGGGGGCAGGATGAATGAATTGGGGGAGCACAGATGATTACTTTTTAATCGCTTATTTTTTAGAGCAAAATTGAATAGAAGTTATATAAATTTCCCATGTATCCCCAACCCTTATGCATGCATAGTTCCCCCTTATAGTGTATCTCACAGAGTAGTATGTTTGCTCTGTTAATGTGTCATTGTCACCTAGAGTCCCATAGTTTACATTAGAGTCTCTGTTTTATTTATGGATTTGGATAAACAATATAATCACATGTCTTTATATTGTTCATTGCATATACAATACACTTTGAAGAGGGGTCTGGAGGCGGTGTGATAGGCAGTCCTTGAAGGTCAGGTTAAGAATTTTAATCTTAATTTTTAATAAGTTTCTATACAATTTAAATACATAATTTGACCTTAATGCATAAATTTCATCACTTCATTCATACTTCCATTTCTTTAATATGTTTGGATAGTCCATTCTTGCTTGCTTCCTTTTCTTATCCCTTCTTTTTAACCTCCTGCTCTTTTTCTTCCTTTCTCTGCCCTTCTTTTTCATACTGTCTTCCCATTTTGTATCTCTTCCATCTTTCCCTTTTTCTCCTCCCAACCTTTCCCTCATATTCTCCTTTCCTTCTGTCTCTACCTCACAGTGGCGCTGTATCTTCTAATCCATATTAAGAAACTGAAGATATGCTCTTCCTGTAGTTTCTACCACATACAGGTAATAAATAGTAAAAACATTTGTGGAAAGCAGAATAATGCCCCCCCACCCCAAAGATATCCACCTCCTAATATATGGAGCCTCTAAATATGTTGCTTGGGAAAAGAGACTATAGATTTTTTTTAAGTTTAAAGACTTTGAGCTGGGAAATTATCCTGGGTTAGCCAGGTGCATCTGATCTAATCAAGTCCTCAAAAATGGAGACATTCTAGACTGTGTTCAGAGAAAGGTATGACTACTGAAAAATGGTCACAGATTCATTATCTTTGAAGGTAAAGAAAGAGGGCCATTGTCATAGAACCATGGTGCCCTCTAGAAAAGGTATTATAGTAGCAATAGAAAACTGATTTATGTACATACTCTTACTTAAAGTCATTATTTTATAAAATTATAATCTTATTATATACACTTTTCTACATCTTGTTTTTCTTTCTTTTTTAACCAATATCTTATGAAAATATAGCCAAGTCATTTGATGATGTTATTTTTTTAAGCAATTTTTTTTTAGTTGTAAATGGACACAATGCCTTTATTTTGTTTATTTACTTTTATGTGGTGCTGAGGATTGAACCCAGTGCCTCACACATGCTCTACCGCTGAGCCACAACCCTAGCCCCTGATGATGTTATTTTTAACAGTAAATAAATTTCTCCTTGCCAGTACTTGCTGTGTTCTTTTATCATAATGACCACCATAATGGGTATGAGGTGACATCTCCTTGTGGTTTTGTGTTGCATTTTTTAATGATTAGTGACGTTGACATTGACTTTCTTTGCATGTATTTGTTGACCAGTTATATATCTTTGGAAAAATGTCTGTTCGGGCTCTTTGCTGATTTTGTAATTGGATTATTTTCTTGTTGAGTTATAGGAGTTCTTTATGTGTTCTGGGTCTACCCAACACCCTATCAGAGATATGATTTACGCTTCCATTTTTATGAGTTCCCTTTTCATTGTGTTGTGTTCTTTTTGGGGCCTATATTTTAAATTTTGATGTCCAGTTTACTTAGTTTTTTCTTTTGCTGCCCATGTTTTTGTTGTCATATATAAGAAATCATTTCAGATCCAGTATTGTGATGCAATCCTATATGTGTTTTTCTAAGAGTTTTGTCATTTTTGGTTTTATGATTAGATCTTTTTTTTTGGCTATTGCTAGGAGTCAAACCTAGGGCTTAAACATTTTTGACAGGTGCTCTGCCACTGAGCTATATCCCCAGCCCTGATCTAGTTTTAGTTAATGTTTGTATATGGCATAAAGAAAAGGTTCTTTTTGCATATGAATAATCAGTTTTCCCAGTATAATTTGTTGAGAAGATTATTCTTTCCTGTTTATATGGTCTTAGCACACTGTTGAAACATTTGATCTAAGTTAAGGAACTATATAGGTGTCCATGAACAGATGAGTGGATAAAGAAAATGTGATATACATATTATATACATAATAGAGTTTTATTCAGCCATAAAGAAGAATGAGACTGTCATTTATGGGAAAATGGATGGAACTTGAGAGTATTTTGTTAAGTGAAAATAAACTCAACTCAGAAAGTCAAGGGTCATGTGTTTTCTTCTACATGTGGAAGCTAGAGAGAATAAAGGAACAACAAAGGGGATGGGGAATCTAATGAAACGAGAAGGGAGGCCCGCAGAGGAGAGGAAGGGTTCTGGGGCTAGAGGCTAGAAATGAAAGAGAAAGTACTGGGGAAAACTTTACCAAATATATCACAATAATTATGTATAATTATAATTCATCAATAAAGAATAATTAAAAATAAGAAACATTTGGCCATATATATGAAGGTTTATTCCTGGGCTTGCAATTCTGTTCCATTTATCTATAATGTCTCTCTTTATGCCAGTACCACACTCTTGCGATTATTATGGTTTTGCAGTGAATTTTGAAATCAGGAAGAATGAGACATTGAGTTTTATTTTTCTTTTTGAAGATTGTTTTGACTGTTTGGGTCCTCTTGAGATTTCATATGAATTTTAGGATGGAGTTTTTCTATTTCTGGAAAAAATGGAAACAGGGATTGCAGTAAATCTATAGATTACCTTGGGTAGTTTTAACGTCTTTACAATATTAAGTCCTCCAATCAGTGAACATGGAATGTCTTTTCATTTATTAATATCTTATTTAATGTCTCTCAGCAACCTTATGCAGTATTCAGTGTACAGGAGTTTTGCCTCTTTGAAGTTAATCACTAAATAATAATTTTTTTGTCCTATTTTAAGTGGAATTATTTCCTTAATTTTCTTTTTGTATTGTTTATTGTTAGTGCTTTGAATGTAACTATTTTGTTATTCATTTATTTGTTTCAACAATTTTATTCTTGGAGTCTTTTGCATTTTCTAAATAAAAGATCATGTGATTTGCAAGTAGATCATTTTTCTTCTTTCTTTCCAATTTGAATGTATTTTATTTCGGAGCTGTCATCAGTTTACTATGTTCTCAGATCCCTTTCTCCACTTTAGATGTTCTAATTTAGGGTCATTGGGAATTTTAATTTTTATTGTAAGAATATTAAGAATCTATAAGTTTTTAGGCAAGAGGAGACTTTGTGTATGCTCTGAGGTTAGTATGAAAGTTTAGTTATTAGTTTTTTTCTGTGCTCTCCAATTATTTTATATCCTTTAATTTTATTAAATTTTGCTCTAAAGTTATATATTTACACACATATATGCATTTGCATACATATACACACATATATATCAGTCACTAACTTCAAATAATATTACATTAATTGCTTTGTTACTTCATTCCATTGTGTAAGAACTTTACAACAGTAAATTTTCATCTTCCTATTTTTCCTTTGTGCTATTTTATCATGTTTTATACATACCTGTTAGACTATAGATGGTTTTTAAAAAAATATATTCCTTTGAATAGACTTAAACAGTTTTACTTCATATTTATGGTTGAGTTTAACATATTTTTGGTGTTTCTGTAAAATGTTTCTCCTTTTTTTTTCCTTCCCAGAAACTCACTTTTATCCTCTTGGTTTCATCTTAACTCCAACATCATGTCTGGTTCTAACGGTGTCAAAGACAATTCCCACAACAAGGCTCGGACATCTCCTTACCCAGGTTCAAAAGTTCAAAGAAGCCAGGTTCCTAATGAGAAAGTAGGCTGGCTTGTTGAGTGGCAGGACTATAACCCTGTGGAATATACTGCAGTTTCTGTTTTGGCTGGCCCCAGGTGGGCAGATCCTCAAATCAGGTGAGTAAAGAACCTGTAATTAGCTGGGTATAGATTTTTGGAAAAGGTAGTGAATATATTTGTAAAATTATTTTTTGACACTTGAAAAATAATTTTTTATCTGTGTTTGACTTTTATACAACTCAGTTTCGATATTTGCTTGAATTTTTGCCAAAGCTAAGCAGTTCACCTTTGTTAATTTTTGAGGGGATTTTATGAGTATACTTTCTAATAGGTAAATCCATTTTGATTTGAAATAACTGCCATTAGTTATAAAATAACAACTGGTGATATCTATTTTCATGTGTTTTTTTTGGCTATCAATAGTTCATCTTTCAAAACTAGACTTGTATTTGAAGCAGTGAAAATATTTTTCAGATATTTTTTCAGATAGTTAAGAATAGGATGATAATAAATTAGACCCCTGGGAAAAAATTGAAAAAGGATAGATAAAGAGTGGGTGGGGCTGGGGATGGGAGAGGGAGAGGGAAAGAGAGGAAATATTAATTGAGGCTTGACTCAAAAAAATGATCTCTTGACTAAATTCATAGAAGTGCGGCATTGGTTCACATTTTATGTTTATATTTCTTACTTTTTTCCAGCTTCATCAAGGTATAATAGACAAAAGTGTATATTTAAAGTGTAAAACTTGTATTTTGATACACATATACATTGTGAAATAAGTACCACAATAAAGCCAACTAACATATCTGTCACTTCACATGTTTACCTCTTCTTTTTTTGTGGTGCCAACATATGAGATCTACACTCAGCAATTTTTGAGGATACATTATTATATATTATTAGCTATGGTCACTGAACTGTAAGTTAGGTCTGTAGAATTTATTCATTCATTCTGTGTAACTGAAACCTTGTATCCTTTGATCAACATCTATCCATTAAACCTGTTGTTTCTTTTAATAATAAATGTAATGGTAGAGATTTTTCTTTTCCAAAATTAGTTTTTTTTTTTTTTATGGTCCTGGGTATTTAACCCAGGGGCTTCCTTGTACATGCTAGGCAAACATGAGCTATTTCCCCATCCATTTTCTTTTTCTTTTTTTTTAATTTTAATTTTGAAATAGGGTCTGACTAAGTTGCCTGCGAACTTGCGATTCTCCTGCCTCAGTCTCCCACATTGCTGGTTTTAGAGTCATGTGCCATCATGCCTGAGTAGTTATTAACTAGATTTACTTTTATTATTATTTTTTAGTGTTGGGGATTGCTAAGCATGCACTCTTCAACTGAGTTATATCCCCAGGCTAACTTTATTTTTAAACATATACATTAAAACTATTCATATTAATGAGGTACTATGTGATATTTTGATGAATGTATATATTTTGTAATGTTTAAATGAGGTTAAACATATCTGTCTCCTCAAATATTTGCCCTTTCTTTATGGTAAAAATGTTCAAAATCCATTCTTCTAGCTTTTATGTACAGTACATACTTCTCTCTATAGTCATCCTCCTTTGCAACAACACACCAGAACTTCCTACCATAAAAAAATGATAAATGTTTAAGGAGATAGAAATGCTAATTACTCGAATTCAGTCATGACAATTCTATATATGGACCAAATTATCACACTACCCATAAATATGTATCATGTTTATATGTTAATTAAAAAAAAACAAAAAATGGAAGCACAAAAAGTTTATCCTTTGCCTATGATTACAGAGGTACTAGATGGTATAGTTTGTACTTAGATTCAGTCTGATTCCAGAATTCATTCTCTTAACCATTTTGTTACATTGTCACATTACTTTTAGAACATTTTATTTAAAAAGTTTGATTCATTAAGTTTATTATAAATGATAGTCCTCTCACAATAATTATTGTAAACTACCCAGTGCTAAATAAAGACATTTGCTAATTGAATAGGTCTAGTAATAGTTTATTAGATTGTTAAACTTCACCATGGATTTATTCCTGTGATTTGATTTTGACTCATGGTTTTCTTATTGTACTCACAGGTAATGTTTGTAACTTTATGATAGTCTTAGGATATTAGTTATGATGACATCTGTGGAGAAATTATTAGCTTTAAATGAGTTCCATTTCCCCCATTTTAGAGGTTGTACATATTTATACATCTATTACATATAGACATTAAGCACAATTAAAGATTAATAATATTGGCAGGGTGCTATATAATGTAAATAGATGAAGATGGAATACATTTTTTTGTTCTTTCAATTTATTTTTTGAGTTAACTTTGTATCACTATCCGAGTCAAGCCTTATTACTAATATTAATGCTTCATTTATAACTAGATTCACATTTTTTTAAAAATGATGAATTTCTAGAATCTCAAAACATTATAATTTTGGTTTTATAATTTCATGGTTTTTATCATTTAATTTTTTTAATATTTGTGTGTGGCATATTGGTTAAAAATCTTGAGAGAATGTCTGGATCATTCAAATTGGATATTATTCTCCAAACAGATCACAAGTATTTCTTTATTCATTTATTGGAATTGTTATAGCAAGAAAAAGTAAAACATATGTCAAAACTGTCCAGGAACTAACCAGTGCCACACAACTCTTTATCCACTATTGGTATAGTTACATCAATGATGTCCTAATGGTGAGGAAAGTAGTTCAGTTATATAGTTTAAGTGGTTAAAATATTTTTGTTGAGGGGTGATATAAATGCAGTTAAGTCCACATTTTCTTGTAAGTGTGCAGGTGAAGCTCAGCAAAATTGGGTTTGTATAGCTCTGTAACTACAACTAAGACCAAGATCTAGAATATTTCTAGCATTTACATGTGTTTTTAATAATCACAATCTACATATGTGTTTTTAATCTGTGGGGTAAATTTACTGTTTTAAGAGTGTACTTTGATAATACTAATCAGTATACATTTCAAGAAATTAAGATTTTAAACAATTGAAACATCAAGATTATCAGGTGTGGTAGTGCACACTTGTACTCCCAGCTAATTGGGAAGCTGAAGCTTGAGGATTGCAAGTTTGATGCCAGCCTCAGCAGCTTAGTGAATCCTTGTCTCAATAAAATATAAAAGGGCTAGGGGTGTAGCTCAATGTACATGACAGTGCATTTTGACATGTAGAGCCTGCCTTGTTTCAATCCCCAGTAGAGAAAAACAAACAAACAAAAGAATATAAAAAGGAATCTTACTTTTGGAACTACAAAATACTAATCCTATAATGTTCTACAAACAATTTTTTGTTGCTGAAGGTAGTGTAGACTTTTTTTTTAATAGTATGGGGAGGACCTTCAGTTCTTTTGCCAGTAGTTCTTCTAAGAGTGATTTATAAATATAGTAATAATACACATCCTTGTAATGTTTTTTTTCTTCTTAAGTAACTATTCTGAAGAAATTAGATGGATTTGTAAATAAAAACTAACCTTTAAAAATTTATTCATTCAAGGAAGTCACTTATGAATAAATAATAATAATAATAATAGACTTATATTAATAATAGACTTATATTATATTAAGCTATTGGTAGTATTGAATGATTATGTCTTGATTTGTATTGGTATTCTCATTACAGTGAAAGTAACTTTTCTCCCAAGTTTAATGAAAAGGATGGGCATGTTGAGAGAAAGAGTCAGAATGGCCTGTATGAGATTGAAAATGGAAGACCTCGGTAGGTATTGGGAATGGAGCATCTTACAATAATGGTCTTCAAAATGTAGAAAAGATAACTGAAATTTATTATATGATTGTATGTGCCAAACATTGTGCAAAAATTTTATATATACAATCTAATTAAATCTTCAAAACTATGGTTATATGTTTTTAGTTTCTATTTACAGATATGGAAAGAGTATAAGTAGCTAAGTCAGAATTTAAATGCATTTTTTCATAATTTTATCTTGAAGGTAGAAATAATTAATTGAATAAATTAACAGAAAGGATTGAAAATTGTAGTTTTAGTTTTTATTGATGCCTTAAAGTAAGAATTTATCCAAAGTAAGAATATAACTAACTCAATAATTTTAGCAGCAATGTTTTTGTGTACTTTGAAAAATGATTTTTCTACACAACTCAAAAATTATCCATTTTCCTTAAGAAGACACAGAAATGAGGAGTAAATGTGAAAATTAGCATACCCTATGTAAAATGATAAGAATCACAATTATGATTATAACCTTATAAAAAATGTTACAATCTTTATTTTAGTTTCTTTAGAACAAGGAAGTGTTAGTGTTTCTTTCACTGCAACCTGGTCCTTCAGTGTTGCTAAATTCTTCCTTTTATCAAAACTTATTCACTTTCCAATGATCATTGAGTCTTCTTAAGTTAACTCTTGAATTTAATTTATTCCTTAGGTTCTTTTCCGAGTAAAATATATGAAAGTATACACACACACACACACACACACACACACAGAAAATGATAGGCAGCAAAGCCAAGATAGGTTATTATTTTAGTTAGGATTCTAACAGAAGCCAATTTCTGTTTCCCTATATGTTGCGTTCATTTTTGTTTCTTTGAAAACAATTTTCTCTGTTTCTCAGGCTATATGATAATTTCTATATGTCTGTTTCACAGTTTCTAGTTTACAAGTTATAAACTTTGTCCTTATATAAAGTAATATTCTCTTTACATTGGCTTTGGTCATTTGTGTTCAAGAGTGTGTTTTTACATAGAATAGAAAATGTAAGTTGACCACCTTGTTCTTTTTCCTGCTAAAGTTACTCAGGCATGAGTGTTGATATATTTATCTGACAGACTTTTAACACTGGGTTATGGTATTATGTTATAAAGCAAATAGAAATCTAATAGATTTCTAGTACACTAAAATCTAATTTTATAAAGATGATATCACTATCTTACTTTGTGTTATATTTATTTATGTGTGTGCAAATGTACATATACACACATGAATATATATACATGTATACAAAACATCTATGTGTGTGTATGTATACATATATGTTTATGTATATATGTTTATATATATAAATTTATATATATATAAATTTATAATATATATAAATGTGTATGTTTACATACCAAAATCTCAGTGTGTGTTACAAAATATATATTATTGATACACTGATATAGCAATGTCTTGAACCCACTTAGGAAAATGACCTTAAAAATGTAATATAAAATAATGGGAAGGGTTGTAGGAGACTGGAATAGGAAAAGAGAATGATGAGAAAGTAAAGAGAAGTTGGCTATCCTGAAAGATAAACTGTTGTAGAGATAGATGTTTGGGTACAGAGCATTTTAAGGGTCCAGTTAGGTTCAGTTTGGATTTCGGTGCACACATGAAAACTGAAACAATTTTGTATATTGTAGAAACACTTTGGAAATCAGATCATACAGATCAAATCTAAAGCTTAAGACATGTGCAAAAGAAAATTTAAGTAACAGTATGATGTGATATGATTTCAGTGGTAGATATGTGACAATACTGCTAGATTTATGAGGAAATACATTTCTCTTCTAGTGCACTTTGTATGGGGGGGTTATAGCAAGTTGGGTTAAAAAAGATGAACTCATTTAATTGATTTTATGTTTTTATTTCCCCCCAGAAATCCTGCAGGGCGAACAGGATTGGTTGGCCGGGGGCTTTTGGGGCGATGGGGCCCAAACCATGCTGCAGATCCTATTATAACCAGGTGAGAACCAAATGAAATATTTTAGTAAAGAGCTAAGTGATTAGAAAAATGTAGACTGTAGCTATATGTGTGTGTTTCCATGTGTGTAGGTACAGTATATCTGTATGCATATATGTAAATCTGCATACTTATAGACATACAAATATTTATAGATGTATTTATAAATATGTGTATATATGTTCACATACATGTATATGCACATATGCATACATGTAAATATAATCCGTATTTTAATGGGACATTTAAAATTATCATGATATAAGTGTAAAGCTGCAGTTTTATGTTGTATGAGTAAATTAAGCATTTAAAGTTAAGGTCACTAGATATTTAATGGATTGTCTAGTTGTTTTTGGCATTGAGTAGGCACTGTAGAGGATGTGTATAAGAATCCAAGGTCAATTATTTGATGCAGATTCTCAATGTAATCAAAAAATGCAGTAAACACAAGATATATGAAATTGCTACTGGTGTAACATAGCATACTCTTTTTTTAGTTATTCTTTTTAGGTACATGACAGTGCATTTTGACATGTTATACACGCATGGAACATAACTTCCCATTCTTGTAATCACAAGAATGTATGTGATGTGGATTAAAACTGATTCTGTATTCATATATGAACATAGGAAGCTTATTTCTGTTTCATTCTACTGTCTTTCCTATTCTCATCCCATCTCCCCCTACCCTTCATTTCTCTTTGTCTGTTCCAATTAACTTCTATCCTTCCCCCCCCTCCCCCTCCTTGTCAATTAGCAGTTAGCATCTGCATTCAGCCTTTGATTTTTCTGATTGGCTTATTTCACTTAGCTTCTTGTCCTTGATAGTCTCTAGTTCCATCCATTCACTGGCAAATGCCATAATTTCACTTTTCTTTATGACTTAGTACTATCCTATTGTATATATGCATACCACGTTTTCTTTATTCATTCATCTGTTAAAGGCTACCTGGGTTGGTTCCATGAATCTAAATAAAAGAAGGTAGGTAAATTTAATATTTAGGTGGACTTAGCCATTTCCACAGGAAACATCTTTTCCAGTGCGTCTGGAATATTCTGTTATATCTACCATTCTTCTTCTTTTTATTTTTATAATTTGTTTACTGACCAATGCTTTCCCTATCATAATGATTACTTTCCTTCTTTAAATAATGCAAATATCCTTGATGTTGTTTCTTTTTTAGTTTTGATATTTTGGATACCTTCCCTTTCTTAAGGAGACTGTTTTTCTATGATCTGAGCTATGATAATGATTTGAAGCTCTAGGAAGTTTGACTCTAGGAAGGCAGCTTATTTGCCTTATTTTAAAGTTACTGAAAAGAGGCACTAATACCATCCTGTCCTATTCTCTTACCCTTTCAATTCCCTGTCCCAACTGATCTTTACTCCTTACAACTTCCCTTTCTTCCATCTCTCTGTCCTTTTGTCCATCCATTCATCTACCTACCAACTTATCTACCTACCATCCTACCTATTTTTCTGTCTACAATTCTCTTAGAACTTTTATAGTTTAAGTGAGAAAGGAACAGTGAATGCATTCTTGTGAATGACCTGAAGTAAAAAAATACTACTGGCATTATTGGTTTCTTTCCAATGTTGTGAAGTTGGCTAAACATAGGAAGGTTTGAAGTGGAACTATAATACTAGTAAGAGGACAAGAAGCAGAAGAGGGAAGCTGGAAACTTGTATGTTAGCAACTCATGGTTTGGATCTTAAATTTATCCCACAGGCCCATGTATTAAAGGCTTGGTTCCAGCCTGTGGCACTGTTGGGGGGAGGGTGGTGGAACCTTTAAGAGGTGGGGCCTAGTGGAAGTAAGTGAAGTCATTGAGGGGCCTTGAAGAGGATGCTGGGATCCTGACACACATCCCTCCCCCACCCCCCACCCTCCCTTTGGTTTCTGACCATCATGAAGTGAGTAGTTACCTCTGCCATATCCTTCCCCTTCTTGCCACAGGACCAAATACACTGGAACCAACCTACCATGGACTGAAATCATGGACCACAATAAATCTTTCATCCTTATAATTTGATTTTTTTCAGGTATCTAATCACAGTGTCAGAAATTTTTTTTCTTTCTTTTCTTTTTTGAGAGAGAGAGAGAGAGAATTTTTTTTGATATTTATTTTTTAGTTTTCGGCGGACACATCATCTTTCTTTGTATGTGGTGCTGAGGATCAAACCCAGGCCGCACGCATGCCAGGCGAGAGCACTACCGCTTGAGCCACATCCCCAGCCCCACAGTGTCAGAAATTAACACAGAAAATTAGTACTGAGAAGTGGAGTCATTGCTGTGATTATACCTGACAGTGTGGTTCAGGCCTTTGGAATTAGCGTATGGGAGAAATTTGGAAAAGTTTGGAGAAGCAGGCTAGATAAACCCTAGAATGCTGTAGACAGAGCCTAGTGGGTGATTCTGGTGAAAGCTCAGAAGACCAGAATGCTGTTAGGAATTTAAAGAGAAAAGGCCAGGCTCATGAAGTGTAAATGAGGACTCTCTTGGAAATTGGACTAGAGTCCATTTGTATGTGTTACATTTTGTCAAAAAACTTGACTACCTTTTGTGCATGTCCTGAGACTTTGTGGGAGGCAAAGTTTATTTATTTATGTATTTATTTTTTTGGGGGGAGCTATCGGGGATTGAACTCAGACTCACTTGGCCACTAAGCTACATCCCCAGCCCTATTTTGTACTTTATTTAGATAAAGGATCTCACTGAGTTGCTTAGCACCTCAATTTTGCTGAAGCTGGCTTTGAACTCGAGATCCTCCTGTCCCAGCCTCTGGGAATACAGGCGTGTGCCACCATGCTCAGCTTGAGACTGAGTTTAAAGGTGATGGATTAATTAATCTTACAGAGGAAATTTCAAGGCAGCACAGAATTCTGTCAGTAGCAAGATATTATTGTTTGTTTTAGCCAGATTTGCAGTGAGATTTGGGAGCAAAAAGCAGAGTGGAAGTATCTGAAAAACTTACAGTTCAGCCGGAAAAGGGGAGAAGTTAAAGTTGCTTTTAAGAAGGGTACAATTGCTAAAAAGATTAGCACCATAAAAAAGAAACTTTATATTGGGATAATAGGAAAGATGCCTTGAGGGTATTTCAGGTACCAGCTGGACCCCACCCATCACAGATTCAAAGGTATAAAAAAGGTACACTTGTTTCCAAGACTCATATTTGAGTAGAGAGCTCTGCTCACTCAGGTCCAACTACAGAACTATTTCCTTGGGATCATTTTCCCTGTATTCAGGCATTCAGAGACTCTGCAGATTTGGTTCTATTGGGCCCTGGTATAGCTCCTACAGGCAGCAGACCTTGGTGTCATCTGTGTGATGCTGGTTTTGCAGGTATGCAGAATGCAGCAAGATTGCAAAGGAAATCTTGGAAGGTCAGGCATTGTGTGGTAGTGTAGGCCTCCTTGCAACATAGCCCCTTACCGAGTGATGTGTAACGTGAGAATGAAGCCAAGGCTGCGATTGAGATCCCAGCCAGAAAAGTAGGCTTCATCCAACAAGATTGTAGGGATGGGGCTGCCCAGTCCTTTTGGAGGTCCCATCATGTTACTTTGTGCTCCTGATGACACATGGAGTTAACAATACATAATGTTTTCCCTGCTGTGTTTCCATCTTACTTTGGTCCTTTTCTTCCTTTCTATGCTCCTATTCCTTCCTTTTGGAATGGGAATATTTACCCTATTCATTCCCAGCCATTGTGTTTTGAAAGTTTGTAACTTTTTGATTTTTACAGAAGTTCACAGCTAAGAATTGCCTCGAGTCTCAGAGGAAACTTTGGACTTGGACTTTTCAGCAATACTGGGAATTCTTGGAGATGGACTGAATGTATTTTGTGTTGTGAAATGGACATGAGCCTTTGGGGGCCAGAGGCATAATGTTATAGTTTGGGTCTTAAGTGTCCCACAAAGGCTCATATGTTAAAGGTTTGGTTGCCACCCTGTTGTACTTTTGGGAGGTAATGGAACTTCTAGGATGTGTGGCCTAGAGGAGGAAGCTAGGTTATCAGGGGCATGCCTTTGAAGGGAATATTGAGACCCTGGCCCCCTCTCTCTCTGTTTGCTTCGTAGCCTGTATGAGGTGACAGGCCCTCTCTGCCATGAGATGTTGCCTTGAGTTGTTCCCTTACCACAAGCCCAAAGTGATGGGTCTGTACTTTCAGGTTGATGCTTATTATCTTAATAATGCATGTATTAATTGATAAATTGCTCTAAATAGATGAGTGGCAGGAAAATGGAGGGATAAGAAGAAGGAAAGATGTTGAAGGAAGAATTAACAAGACTTAAATGGATTATTAAAAATAATGCTCTACTACAGCCATTCTTCTAGGTCCTACTTTGATTTCCCAGAGTAGGTATCAGTATATCCATTCTATAGATTTGGAAATGAAGTCTTAACTTGGGTAAGTGATTTATCTAAATCTTTCAGATTTGAAATTTGAATCAGGGATATGTGACTTTAGATTTTGTACTTTTGCCTTTAGCCATAATGAGTAATCATAAGAATCACATGGGCATGAAGATTCCATCCCCCTTTCTTTCATGTATTTCAAGATTCAAAACAGCATTGTATAGTACAGAGTTTCACAAACTTTCCAGTTCAGAATCTTCAGGGCAAGTATGAAATTTTCAAATTTCCAATAAGTTCCTTCACATTCCTTAAAGTTAAGGTGAGATAGGAAGTGTTGTATATTACTGTGAATAAACTTAGTTCAAATAATTAATGGCAATATCATTTTCTTTTCATTTTGGGTTAAGCATAGGAAGGTGTATGCCATCAGAAGTGGTTAGAGAATGTCAGTAGGGCATATATTATCATATATCATCGTTACATATCACGTGTTAATAATGTCAGTAAATAGTAATGAAGTTTGTTAATTAAAATGAAACATTACTTCTTTTGTTATCAAGAAATATTTTTACTTTGATGTTATATATCTAGTACTAATAAAGAACATAGCAAAGGGGCTGAGGCTATAGCTCAGTGGTAAAGTGTTTGCCTCGCATGTGTGAGGCACTGGGTCAATCCCAGGCACCACATAAAAATAAATAAAGATGCTGTGTGTTCATCTACAAGTAAATATATATATATATATATATTTAAAAGAACATAGCAAATAACTTCTGCTTAAAATCCTTAAAAAAGGGTCAAAATAAAATCTAAGAATACAAACATAGTAGGCAGACAGCTCTTCATCATTCTGGCCCTGTCTTCTTACCTGGCAGCATCTCCTTCTTTTGCTTTTCATTGATCCTTTCTGGCCATGGCTGTCAGACTGTCTGGATGTGAAGCAGGGGCTCTGTGTTAAATCTGTTTTCCTATTTCCTTGTAATAGGTGCCAGTAAACATTTATGAGTGAACAGAGCTGTCATTTGTCTTATTACCTCTCATCTGATTAATATATTCATTCTGCTTTTTTGAGTTAAATAGATAGCAATAATAAGAGCTCAGATTTTAGAACCAGATTGCCTGGGTTCAAATCTTGGTTTATACCCTTATTAACACTGTTGTCTTAGATAAGTTATCTGACTTCTCTCTGCCTCATTTCCATGTCTGTGAAATAAGATAATACAACTACTTTATGGTGTTGTTTTGAAGCTTAAAAAAATAAATATATTAAAGCATTTAAATGTATATAATAAGTGTTATATAAACAGATTTATATCTGTTTATAAGATATATAATAAGTGTTATATAAACAGATTTCAGTAAAATAAAAAAATCTGTTCTCTCTCCATTTCACTGTCTGCCTCCCTTCCCATTCTCATTATCTTTTACATGGATTGTGGTAACCTTTTAGCTTGTCTTCTTGCCCCTAGTCTTGATTCCCTCCCAACCAACCACTATTCTTGTCAAAATGAGGGAGCTTTCTAATTCTAAATTTTAATTGCTTTATCCTGCTTAAAATGTTTTCTGGCTCTCTAATCAGAGGAATTTTATGACTGCTGTCATGTAAACACTTTGCCTGCTTCCTCAGCCTCATCCCCCATCTTTTCCCTCAATAATACCCACAGTACTAGACCCCATACAGATGTTCAGTTTCTTGAACACATTATTTATTTTATTGCTTTGCTTCTTGCTTATGTTATTCTTCTGTCTGATATCTTAAAAATAGATGTTGTCTTATAATAGTTATTCTTTCATTTCTGTTTACCCTATACAAATTATTACCATCTTATAACTTATTCATGTATACACATTTAACTCTACTGATAGACTGTAAGTTATTTCTGGGGAGAATTTTAGGTTGGATATGATAGTCAGCTGTTATATAAAAAGCCACCTGGAAACTCATATCCAAGCTAGAATATTTTATTGAGTCTCATCCAGAGAAATGATCAGATCATAGATTTTCTTTTGAGTTAGTATTGGAAGTTTAAAATCTTTACCTTCGCCTAAGAGACCATCAGAACAGTTCTTAAAAAGTATGGTGGAGGTTAGGAAGGGGGGAGGTACATTTGTCATCTCTGGGAAGGTGATCATAGTTAGAAAAAGTATGTTCTGAAATTAACATGCCTTGATACTTTTTATAAGACCATGTAATTCAATTCAAAATATAAAATTAGATTAAAGAATGGAGTGAGTTTTTGTTTTTTTAATCAAAAGAGGGCATAAAGATTGAAAAAACACTGCTTTAGACACTGAGTAAAACTGTATGAGGTAATCTGCTTTTCTTATAACTCAGGGTGAACTTTTAAATGCAAATGTTGCCAGGTCTTTTTTTCTTTTTTCAACCTATAATTTTTTTTTAAAAAAACTTTGTATTTAAAAATAAATGTTTACAACCCTTTCTTTCAATTCTGTTTGCTCTTAAACTATTTTTTTTTTTGGATAGTACTTTAAATAGTAAAAACTGAAAACTGTTAATATCCTGAATTTTCATTACAGTGAGAGCACGGTATCTTTTATGTGTAGTAGACTTTTGTCCTTGCTTGTAACAATGCTTAATGCAGAATATTTCAAATGAAAAAAAGAATAGTTTTTCTTGTATAAAACTTATTTGAGGTAAATTTAAATATATTCTGTTATAAAGAAAAATATATCTTTATAATTTTGTCTTGGCTTGAGATAGAACCTTGGTCTTTGTTCTAAGTGAGCTACGATCTTTCATTACTATTCACAGGTGGAAAAGGGATAGCAGTGGAAATAAAATCACCCACCCTGTTTCTGGGAAACACATCTTACAGTTTGTTGCAATAAAAAGGAAAGACTGTGGAGAATGGGCAATTCCAGGGGTAAGCATTGCAATTAAATCAAATTAATGTTTTAAGTCCTTTTTAGTTACTTTATTTCCTACAGGGTTTTTGTGTGTGGATCTTTACTACTCCATTTCTCCTGAGTTTCTGCCTATTTCCATCATCTTTCATCACTGTAATGAAGTGGCATTTTTAATAACAAGTGTAGAATCTGAGTTTAATTTTAACATTTTTGTAAAAACGTGGACTTTAGAGGTAGATCTCAGGTTGTGTTTTGGCCCTTTTACTTGCAACTGGATGACATGCAGTTTAGGCCTCATCTTTAAAATAAAAGTAATCATATCTACCTTACAAAATAGCATAGGCACTTACTAATGTGGGTTCCCATCTTAACCACTATTCCAAATTGAAGGTAATATTTTTAGCATTATTTATTAATTTCTGATACTTTATACATAGTAAAAAAGATAGCATTTTTTACTTATTATTCCTTTTAGTTTAAAAATTTCCATAATATTAGGAAAAATATACTTTTGTCAACCAAGTATACCTTAGTTTGAATTTATGCCAGTATGATATTTGAAGTGACTTTTAATATATGTATCATATGTGTGTAGAAGGTTTTCTATTTTGTTCTGTATTGTGAAATGGAGATGATTTAATATAATAAATATTCTATAAATGTACTGTTATCTGAAATAATTTTTTGTAGGATAAGAGTAGAATGGAATTAAAGATCTAAGCTGATTCTGATAAAAGCTTAGACTAATTATTATGAACCAAATCATCAGACTTCACTCGTGCTCAGTGCAACAATGTCATAATGTTTTCATCATAGGAACTTATATTTTAATTGTCATTTGACATTCTGATGAGGTAACTGTGGTTACTGATAAAATTTTGAGTTATTCATCTACTCAATATAATTTGAGTATTTTCTCTTTGTTGACTAGTATCTTAGACACTGAAGGTACAACACAGCAACATAAACAAACATCCTTGTTTTATAGTGCTCACATCCAGAGAGGGAGATAATAAAAATTAAATATATTTTACCTTAGGAAATGCTAAGTATTAAGAAAGAAATTAAAGCAAAGTAGGAGACTAAGAAGTGTATGAGAATTCACAATTTTAGATAGTGATGTTTGTAATCTGAAGGAAGCGAATGAATGAACCATGTAGGCATCCATGAAAAAACATCTTGGACAAAGATTATAGCAGGTGTAAAGGCCTTCAGGTGGGAGTAGGTCTGGTGTGTTCTGTGAACACCAAGGAGATGAGATCAGTCTGCTGGAATGGAATGGACAATTGGGATGACTCTATTTGCTGTATTCTTTCTTGCCTCTGGCCTTCTCTCCTTTAAGTTTGGAAAGTGTCAGGATATGAATTTGATTGGCTTACCATAGGCCAACTTTGGATAATCACTGTGGCCAAATAGATAAGGCACATTTATTGGCTACTTCTACTAGAAACAAATGGTTTAGAGGAGAGCATATTACAGAGGAATAAGGACCATTATTATAGGCTGATTGAATAATGGTCTGTTGTACCTCAGTAAATATTTCATTAATAAATCAAAGCTTATTACTGCTTCTTCTTCTTCTTCTTTTTTTTTTTAAAAATAATATGATTCTTAGGGGATGGTAGATCCAGGAGAGAAGATTAGTGCTACACTGAAAAGAGAATTTGGTGAGGAAGCTCTTAATTCCTTACAGAAATCCAGTGCTGAAAAGAGAGAAATAGAGGAACAGTTGCATAAACTCTTCAGCCAGGAACATCTAGTGGTAAGAACTGATGGTTTCCAGAAGGGATTTAGTCCTGTGAATTAATAAAAAATGACTTAAAATATATCTGCAACCTAAAAGTACCTTCTCTAAAGAAAATAAAACTCCTTGTATATTTGAAAAATATATTCATAAAAAATTTAGGCTGTAGATCTTCACTTTGAAATACATTTCTATTTAAACTTTAATAGCTTTAGGTAAATTTAATAATAATTTCTTTTAGTTTTTTTCTGTAGACCAAATGTGATAAGCTCTTTTTTAATCTGCTGAGTATACATCCAACAGCCCTCTTTCCTCTTTTTTGTTTGTTTGCATGAATCCTCCTTTCTCTGAAAGGACATTCACATTTTAAATTTTACAAGAGTTTTTCAGGTAGATAACTACTTAAATCTCAGGTCTAATTTAAAAAATTAAAAAATTAAAAAAAACCTTATAAGGTATATGTGCACTAATAATAAGGAAAGGAATAAATTTTCTTTTCTTTTCATTGCCTTTCATTTGGATTACTTTGTTTTCTTTCTGGAATTAGAATTTCTTAATCTTTTGTCTATGTTATCCAGTTTGATGTATTTATTTTTTTGTATCACATTTGTGTTAGATGACTAGAACCAAATCTTTTCATGTATTAACAGCTTAAATATGTTAGTTTTATTTATAGATCTCCTTTGTTTAAGTAGAAAATCTACCTTTCTATTTATGAACTTATAATCACAGAAATTATTAAAAGGACTATTTTCTTTTCTTCCTCTTTTTTTTTTTTGTGGTGCTGAGGATTGAACCCAGTGCCTTGTGCATGTGAGGCAAGCACTCTAGCACTTGAACTATATCCCCAGCCCCCAAAAGGACTATTTTCAGTTTTTTCCCCTGATGTTAGTGATTAAACCTAGGCTCTCCCACATGCTAAAAGCACTTGCACTACCATTTAGCTATGTCCCCAACCCCTTTCACATTTTGAAATTAGAAATTTAAGATATGGAGGGTTTTTTGAACCTTAAAGCTGCCTCTAACGAAAATATTGTCTCCTGAGAAATTTAAAAGAAGTGTTTGAAAGCTACAGTAAAGATTCTATGATATTTACATTTCTTCTTTTTAAAAATTTTGGTAAAATACATGCAATAAAATTTAACCATTGTTGTACAACAGGATGTTTACATTTCTGAATCTAGTGAATCTTCTGAACATTTTTTTGTTCTACCCATTCCCGTTTCACCCTAGACTTTTTTTTTAATCTGCCTCCTTTTAAAAATAGATATATAAGGGATATGTTGATGATCCTCGAAACACTGACAATGCATGGATGGAGACAGAAGCTGTGAACTATCATGATGAAACAGGTAATTTTATACTCATGTTTATTGGATTGATTGGAATTGAGGATAAATGTAAGTCAAGCAGCCGACTGGGGCAGTTATAGCTGGACTATCTTAGCATTTAAGGTCAATTAACTATTTTTTTTTAAAATTTTTTAGTTGTAGATGGACACAATACCTTTATTTTATTTGTTTATTTTATTTTTTTTAAATATTTATTTTTTAGTTATCAGCGGACACACATCTTTGTTTGTATGTGGTGCTGAGGATGGAACCCGGGCTGCATGCATGCCAGACGAGCGTGCTACCGCTTGAGTCACATCCCCAGCCCTTATTTGTTTATTTTTATGTGGTGCTGGGGATCGAACCCAGTGCCTCATGCATGCTAGGCAAGTGCTCTACAACTGAGTCACAACCCTGGCCCCAGGACAATGAACTATTGATTTTAGGACTATATTTATATGAAAGCAAAGTTATTGGCATTAAAAGACTACATAGAACAAAACTTCAAAAGTGTTATTCACCAGTAACTATTGGTAGCATATGAAATTAAGGTTGAATTTATGGGCTAAAACGATGTATTTTTAAAGGTTGTCCTATTATTTGTATAATATATATCCATTTGTGTATAAGATAAAAATAAAAGCAACTAGGAATTTGGGTGGGAGAGTAGGGCAATAATAAAGGAGTTGAGATTTATATTTGTCTTAGTGTTTGAAATATTTTAATAATAAGCATGCATTTTTAAAGCACAAAACAATATCAGAAAGGTTACAAATACTGAAAAAATTTAAAATGAATGCTTTTTTCTAGTCTGTGGATTTTAGAATTTATTTGGGAGAATCAAATGTGTTATAAAAAGAGATGAAATTTGCTATCTTAAAAATTAATTATTATTTTAAATTTACACATTGAATATCTTCTCTTGAAACACATTTGATTGCCAAACTGGATGATTTCCTAAGTATTTGATATTTATCTGTAGCATAATGGAGTGAGGACACTGTATCAGAGAACTGAATGTTCTACTCATGGCTATTCTCTGAGCTGTGTAGTCATGTGCAAATCAATTTTCCCCTTGGACTCAGTTTATTCATTTATAAAACAGACTAGAATTAGAAGATCTGTGACTTCTCTGTGCTTTTGCTTGTTGAACTTGGGGGAAACTTCTGGCACTATTTCTATTCTTCTACTTTAAGATAGTAAAAAAGAATTCATCCTTCTGGTATTAAGAACTGAGAAGAAATATACAAATAGAACTTAGAGGCAGGTTTATACAATGGAAATACGGACAAATTTGTTATTTTGTTTTGGTGGGAGTGGTTAAAAATAATAACTAATCTTCCAAAAAGGTTGATTACATAGTTTATATGTTGTTCATTGTTTTCACTTCACTTCCTTTTCTCCATTTAAAAAAAAAAAAAAGAATTCTTCCAAAATAGATATCTGAGTGTCCTATTGCTTACTTTGTCTCTTCAGACTGTGTTTTTGACTTTTTAGCATACCTGCAGTGTATTTTAAAAGCTGGACACAATTTATCTGGTAAAACAAATTAAGGCAAATAGGACTTTAGTGTGAAGTTTTGTTTTTATCTGGCCAGGATAGCTGTATTTATTGCTAAAGCTATAATAAGAGTCAGAGACTAAAATTTCCTCTAGTGTCCTTGTTTTTTTTTTTTTTTAAATTTTTTTAACCTACTCTGTTGTTTTAGGGTTGCCTTAGAGACTTCTTAATAAGGTCTGAGATATGCTCTTCAGTTGTATTCTCCTGTTATAGTAAGTTTAGGGGTAGAATCCAGTGTTTGGGTCTCAGCCTTTTAGTGAGCCTGTGCCCTTGGCCTATGACCTTTACAAGTGATTCTAGGCTTCTCTTCCTCCTTCTCCCATTCTTAGGTCAGACAAGGAGACAGAGAGCTCTGGAATTGGGTATTTCCCTTCTCCAAGGTTGGTTAAGCCTTGGTAAAATAATTTTCTATAAGGGCAATATACTGTGGGAGTATTTCAAAATGGTTACTTTCATTTCCCCTTTCTGGAAACTAGAGGGGATTTTCCTCTAAAGAGGGGGAAGGACTCTGCCCTCTGTTGGATATAAGAAGAATTGTTAATTTTCAGTTCAGCTTTTTTTCTTGTTAAGGTAGGAATTATGACTCCTGAAGTCTAAATGTCAGATCATCTCCCTTTAAATTTTTAAAAATTTGTTTTGTATAATTTATTAAGTGACCATAGGGGTGAGTAAAAGAACCTTTCAGACATTATTAATTCTAATAAGAAACTTGATGTAGAGAGTTATTATTTAGATAATTTGATACTTTAATTTTTGGATTCAGGTTTACTTTTTAGTTCTCTTTCTCTGTGGATGGTTGGATGTTGCACTTATAATGAAGATGCACATAGAGCTATCATTTCAGCATTGGTATTTAGGAATCTGTGCTAAAATATAATAATAGTTCTTTCTTTTAAACACTAGCTTTATTATTTTATTACAAGTACTTATTATATAGGTAAACTTAATTGAAAGTTATTTAAAAAATAAATGACGTAAAGAGGAAATGCTTTAACAGGCTGTTTTTTTTTTTCTTTTAGATAAATTCTTCATAGAGGAATTGGTGGATTGTTATTGTACATTCAGTGCCTAGTTTAATGTTTGGTACACAGACACTCTGATATTTATTGGTTGAATACTTATAAAGAAGCATTTGCTTTCTAAAAATACCTGATAAACATTACCAAATTGTTCTATAGAAATATGCCATTTATATTCCTAAAAATGACCGAGAATGTTTATTTTAATTTTTTAATAATTATAGTTAGAGATATTTTAATAAATATATTTATGCTTGTATAAATATAAATATTTTCTGTTGTAGTTTTTTGTCATGCTTAGAAAAGTCTGCTTAAGCCTGTATTTATTTATTTATTTATTTATTTATTTTTGTGTGTGTCTAATCCCTCAGGAATTTTTTTTTTGATGTAAGGTTTTGTACTCATTTGATATGTTCTCTTTGATAAGTATACTATTCTTACTTTTTTAAAGAGAAAAATCTTTCTTTTTGGTGCTCAACCTGAAATTTAGTAACTTAATTAAAATATAGGCAACTTGGAATATTTTAATTTTTAAATTTCTTGGCCACTGATACAGTAATGATTTATGATTATTTTTACTAAGAATACTTGGAGATGTAGTTATGCTGGGAAAAAGAAATAAATAAATGAATTCCTTTTTTTTGGTGATGGTTTTTCTTTGGTAACCAGGTGAGATAATGGACAATCTTGCCCTAGAAGCTGGAGATGATGCTGGAAAAGTGAAATGGGTGGACATCAGTGATAAACTCAAGCTTTATGCCAGCCACTCCCAATTCATCAAACTTGTGACAGAGAAACGAGACGCACACTGGAGTGAGGACTCTGAAGCTGACTGCAATGGGTCATAGCTTGTGGTCTCCGTGTGAGCCAGAGGCAAGCAAAGGAACATGCACTGAAAAGAAGGCAGTGACAGAACTCATGCTGTAAAAAGGCAGCGTAGCTCACTAGGAAGTAATTTTATTCACTTTCAAAATGTTTGTATTTAGAAGGTTTTTGCATCAGAATAATATGAGTAAATATCATAAAATAGAATTTTCACCTTTCTGATCAAAAAGATTAGAAATAGTTATATTTTGTATGCATTCTATAAGCATGGCTTAAACCAAGTTTAATAACTGATGCTCTTGAAGAGTTGTAGTTAGAACAAAGATAAATTTCCCATCAGCTGTAACTTCTGCTTTTTCCATCTAATTCTTGTTCGTTAGTTCTTTTCCTCCCTCTAAACTGAGATTTGAAGGATGTTTGTGCCACATCCAACTTCTTTTGGAGGAGTACTGCCATTGGTTGTATAGTTTAATGTCTAATCTGATTTTTATTTAAATTATTTTGCTTCATATGATTTTGTTGAAGCTGACTTCAAAAGTGGAAACTGTATTTTTGTCTTTGAGTCATCCATTTTATAAGGAAATTTCAGTTATCTTGTCAATAAAGATCAAGACTGATGAATAAGAGCTCATATTCTCATTTTTCAGAAATTCTGAATTTTAAAAATATGCCTAGGGGATTAGAAATTTATGGAGATTTCACTCTACTATAACTATTGTATGTCACAAATGAATTAGAGATGGATGTAAAAAGGCAGGGACAGAGAGGTTGTTGTAAGTTAGAGTACTTTTTATGAGGAAGGGAATGTTAAGGATTGAACTTAATTTTTGAGAGACATGTGGTCAGTGTAAATCATAGAGGAAGGATAGGGTTGGTGTATTAGGGTGTTTTGGAAGCAGGGAAGAGGAAAGAAAAAGAGCACTGCCTGTCCCAGTGGACATATCTGTCACACTCAGGCTAAGGATTTCTATTGGAAAGTCCTGTGATATTGACTCCTGACAACCTGCAGTATGGACTGTCAGAATTCCTTCTTCCTTCCAGTTAGATTATAGATGGGACACCTAAAGAAAAGGAAGTTTGTGGAAAGAGACATGGTACTTTTCTACAGATATTTGAAAAGGGTAACCAGGCTTACTCTCATAGCTAGAGAGCAAGATTAGGGCTAAGATAAAACAAAATGGTGGGATTTTTTTTTTTTTTTTTGTCTTGATTGTTGTTGATTTGATGTCATGACTTTTTTGGTGATAAACCCGAACTGATCTGGAAAGAGACATTTCTCTTCTTAGTGTAACTGTAAGTTTTGCAAAGAAATGTTGCAGTGTTTGATTTCAGGATACCTTGGTCTCCTCTGGAAGAGTTATATTATGAAGCTTATTATGATATTATTCTTTTAAAATCCATGAAATCCTGGTCCATAGGATCCTGTGCATTGATCACCCTCATTTGAATGACTTTCTCCCAGCATGAAAGAGCTGGCTTCTACTTTTACTGTTTGACAGGAAGAAATTGCTTCTTCCTGGCAATAAATAGAATTCTTTGAAATTGAAATGACTAATGAAAGCTCTCAAGAAAGTTTGAGAAATTTTGTGAAAATAACATTTACTTATTTTTTAATAATTTTGGTATATTTGAACTGAAATAATAAAGATATTAGTTTGTGTTGAAGTTTTATTTGAAGTATGACTGAAGCAGATAGGTCTATAGATAACATTCGTTGTGGTATTTTAGAGTTTTCATTAGAACATTGACAGAGTATAAAAAATGATTAAACCACTACCAACTATAGATAAGATAAATGCAGATAGTCTTGTGATAATTGTAAATATCCAGCACCATCTATAATTAAGAAAAAACAGATTAAAATGTTAGTTTAAGACCTTTCTGGAGGAACATCTGCATCTCTATTGCTAGATAATGTCCCCTTCATATTTACTTTCCTAATGTCTTAGAGATAATTAATATTTTTTTCTTTTAGAGACTGAATACAAAGTAAGTAGCAATAATAGATCCCATTTACCGAATATCTATATCATTATTACTTAATCCTCACAACAATCCTGTGAAGTCACAGGACTGTTCCATTCCATTTTACAGATGAAGAAATTGAGACTTTGAAAGATTGCCTAAGGTTTTATTCAGTAAGGGATAGAGCTTGAATTCTGATCTACCTAGTTCCAGTATCTGTTCTCGTTTCTATTACATATTAACCCTACTCAGGTTATGAGTGTTGTGATTTGTCACTTTAAGGATGCAGATAGGAAAAGTATGTTACATAAATGATACTCATGTTAGCCAAAATAATGCATAGTTTATGACTTGAAATTTAAGGGCCACACCTGATTAAGCCAGCATTGTTGAAATTGTTTGTATAATTTTGGACCAAAGACAATTTATTTGGTGATATCTTAATCTAAGATATCAATATTTGTCTTGCCAGCAGACATTCTTGAGCTTTTGAAAGAATTTCCAACTCAAATAGAAGTGTATGCTAAGTTTACTTAAGGTTGTAATTATCTTAAAAGCTAGACACTGGGTAGCTATGGAGAGAATTTGAAAATTCTAGCAGTTTTAGAGGCTACTCTTGTTTAGAAGTGTAAATTATGCTTAGGACTTCTGGTGGCTATTGTTTTCTCAAATATTTCAGGAGTTTTAATAAATAAACTAATTTAAAAATATATCCTTTGAAGAAATCCTTTGTCATTAGGTTGGTCTTGTTTATGGTTGATTTCATCATACTATGAATTTACCAACATGGACACAATCTCAAGGTGATAAAACACTTAACAAAAATATTTAGAAATATATAACGGTGGTCTGCAAATAGAAAAATATTTGGAGATTTTACTAACCATGTATAACTTCTGGCATAATGGTGACAGGATTATTTCTGTTGAAATAGAAAATACAGATTATAGTTATATGAAAATATTGTTATCACCTTTCTCCCATTTTATGGTTATTTTATTGCTCATGTGTTAATATTGAAGTGACTCTGTTGGTTGGGAGTGGAAAATAACGTGATTCTACGGTACTTTAGTGCTGATAAATTGAACTCTGAACTGTCTTGTCTACAACATGGAACTTTATTTTTCCCGTTTGGCCTCTGATGACCTTAGAGAAATACTTGAAGTGGTAAAAACATACTAAATTAATACTTAAGGGCATTGAAACTGATTAGGAAGGGAAACTGTTGGGTAAAAATCCAATTTCTTTCTCAATATTGAAGTTGAAAATATTTTGATTCATCAGCTTCTTCAAGGTAGATTAAAAAATACATATGTATATAATTTTAATTATATTCAATTATTTTGAAAAGGAATTAATTTTTTTTTTTTCCTTCTTTTTTTTTTTTTTTTTTTTTTTTACTGTATGTTTTAAATGAAAGCAAACTTGCTTGAGAGAGAGTCAAAGCAGATGTCCTAAAGTTTGTAGCCTTTTCATCCAGCAAGCTGATGGCTCTTGCATTAAGGAGATGTGACATGCAGAAATTTTGATCTAAAAGTCTTGGAGGACACTGAGTTTATAACTAATGAATTCTAATTGGGTAGATGAAGTGGGTTATTCTGCCATGTGTTTTTATAGTTCAGAGGCATTATTCTTACCTTTCTTGACATTGCCACTTATTTTATAAGTAGAAATAAAATCTTACCCCAAGGAAGCCCTAAAAATAAGATAAAAAAAATTAAGCTATTATCTTTAGTCCATTCATTAAATTTGTAGTTTATAGTAGCCTAAAAATACTTACCCCCAGTTGGTTCAAAATGGAGGTGATCAACTGAGAAAGAAGAAAAATCAATGTCAGGACTATCAGTAGGTTTATTTTTAATTTTAATGTAGTACATGTATAAATTAGACTATTTTGTATATGAAAATGGTTTTATTGAAAATTCCACTTTGTTACTTATGATTTTATTTACATAATGTAAGATTTTAAAATGAAGAATCAATACCAAGATTTACATTTCTTTAATTTACAGAAATATTTTCTTCTGTCTTGTAACTCTATTCATTATGTTTGACTCTCACTCTTGGCAATCACAGAAGAAATTATTTCATTGATGTATAGTTGGGTTGAATTGAATAAGTGAATATATAATTGTTCTCAGGCATTAAGATTGTTTTTTGGGTTTGAATTTAACAGCTGTGCTTTATTTTGTATCTACATGAATTGGACTAATAAGAGTAATTTTCAGGATGAATTGGCTCATTTTATGCAGTATTTTGAATATAATATATTTATAGACTTATAGGTTAACAAGGCAAAATGTATTTACCATTATGAATTCATTAGGTGTCAGGACCTAGAATAAAGGAAATACGAAATAATCTAGGAGTTGATAATTCAGCATTTTAACTTTTTTCTGTTATAATTTTATATTAGCTTGGTAAATGAAAACATGCTTTTTAGAATGCATTTAAGAATTATATCATTAAGATTCATATTTACTAATATTTTTAAAGTATCTCCCCCTTGGTACCTCTTTCTCAAACCTATTTCTGGATATATGTAGTCCATATTTTCTTTTGTGGATTCCAAACATATAATATTTATTTTTTAGTTATAGGTATACACAATATTTTTATTTTTATGTGGTGCTGAGGATCGAATCCAGTGCCCCACGCATGCTAAGCAAGCACTCTTCCTCTGAGCCACAGTTTCCCAGTTTCCTTTTTTATAAGTTTTTTTAAAAATGTTTTTTAGTTGTCAATGAATCTTTAAAAAAATTTTTTTTTTGTAGTTGTAGATGGACAGAATGCCTTTATTTTATTTATTTTTATGTGGTGCTGAGGATCCAACCCAGTGCTTCACGCATGCTAGGCAGGCACTCTGCCACTAAGCTACAGCTCTAGTCCAATGGGTCTTTTATTTATTTATATGCCATGCTGAGGATGGATCTCAGGGCCTCACATATGCTGGGCAAGCATTCTACCACGGAGCCATGACTCCAGCCTGGAATTTCTTTTTTGAAGATCATTAAACCTATGCTTACTAGGTTGAGAAAAAATACTACACTTTTGCATTAACATTATGAAAGAAACTATAATAATGTTATTTTCTGTAATTTTAAGAAGAGTATAATTTTAAAAATTGGAATTAATATACTATAAAATATATAACTTTTTTTTCTAAATCAGTCATATAATTATCAGTACTTCAGTGAAGTCCCATTAAAGTAAAATTTAAATAAACCTTATATACCATGAACATAACCCTAAATATAGTTCAAAGGCTTCAAGGACAGATACATTTCAATAAGTATCCCCTCTCCCCATGAATGTCAAATGTAAGCATAACTTCAGAGGCACAATGTATTTCATAAAAGATCTATTTTTACTCTCTTGTCTTTGAGAATAAGGTAAGGCTGAGAGGAGCCTGATTATTCCAAAGTGTTAAAGAGCAGACCTAGAGCTGGCATCTCTAGAACAATTTGCCTTCAAATTTTTCTACTGGTCCCCAGGTTTATTCCATACAATCACTGAATGTATCAGGTTTTAGGTTTGAGATTTATATATTAAGTTGTTCAAAATTTAACAATTGGTATTTTGTTAAGACAAAGTATCAATAACTAGTAGTCCCCAAAGAGAATGCTAATCATTAATTCTTGGTATAAAATTCCTCTCTAATTAAAATTCTAGAGAATTTTCAAGTTTGTATTTTGTATTCATTTAAATATTTTCTTAAAGTTTTAAGTATAATTACCTGGTTTGGATTATAATGAAAAAGAATTGGACTCTAAAGAAGGGGAAGAAATGAATTATGAACAAAACAGACCACAAACATTTCCTTTGGGCTTTTTTTCTTACAACTATTCATTTAACCTTCCAACCATCTGTCCATCTATCCATGCTTGACATGTGTACTGAGCAATTAACTTTGTGTCTAGGACTGGGCATATCAGTATACAAGACACTTTCCTTAGGAAGCACATGATTCTCTATGATTTGTTTTTCTTTCAAGAGGTATGGTCATTTTGCTTTATCAGTCAAAACTAAAGCCTGGCAATCTGTCTTTTTAATCAGTGTTGATAGTTCTTGCGAATTCCAGTGGGATTTCTTTACTTGCTTACTTTTAAATACTGTTCTGCCCTCTGGTGGTAGGAAGAGTTTCTATTTCAGATACCATTGATTCCTTTTTGTTTCCACATATAATTACATAATTTAAAATATAAGATGTTAATGGGCCAGGAAAGGAAACCATAGTGAATTTATCATTGCATTTTAAGTAATATTGATAGTAATTTTAATTTTTTGATATCCTGAATAATACTATTGTTTAACAGTGAATCAAATAGGAATAAATCCAATTTGACTAAACACAGACACACCAAAAAAGATGTTAAGCCATGTGTGGTAGCATGCCTGTAAACCCAGAAGCTTGAGAGGCTTGAGATTGAGAGTCCAAAGCCAGCCACAGCAACGGGGAGGTACTAGGCAACTCAGTGAGACTCTGTCTCTAAATAAAATATAAAATAGGTCTGGGGATGTGGCACAGTGGTTGAATGCCCCTAAGTTCAATCCCCAGTACCAAAAAAAAAAAAAAAGATGTTAATGGTGGCTACTAAATTATAATAAAAAACTAATACTTTAGGCTTTTACACCAACTTAAAAACAAATTTACTGAATTTCAGCCAGATAAAGGAAACAATGTATTTAGCTCCTATTAGAGACAAAATAATTAGAATAATTATCAATTAATAATAAATACAAGTACCCAGAAATTAAGCAGGTAGAATTCAATATGTGAAAATGTTAAAGGGAAAGAAATGTTCCATTGAGGACAGCTTTAGCCACAAATTTCCAAAGCCTATTTAAAGTTGAAACCGTTTGAAATTAAATATAAGGGGAAGTGTTTTTCTACACTTAAATATAAAACTAAATTAAGAAAGTTATATATTTTAAAAATATTTAGAGGATCAGACAATAAATTAGACAAGATGCTATTTTAAAATGTGTTTGAACTTTTCTGAACATCATTTCTTTCTTTTTTTTTTAAAGAGAGAGTGAGAGAGAGAGAGAGAGAGAATTTTTAATATTTATATTTTTTAGTTTTCAGCGGACACAACATCTTTGTTTGTATGTGGTGCTGAGGATCGAACCCGGGCTGCACGCATGCCAGCAGAGTGTGCTACCGCTTGAGCCATATCCCCAGCCCAACATCATTTCTTAAATACTGTCCAACTTTAACATGGTCACAACTTGTGTTGCAGCCTCATTGTATTAATCTTTCCTCCCCCAAATTGCCTTGTGCTTTTCAGGTCTGTGGCCCTGCACTTACTGTTCTACTCAAAATGCTGCCCACTCCTTATTCTTTGAGCCCTGGCCCAGATGCTAACTCCTTTGTGAAGTCTGACTTGTGGCCTGATTTAGCTTTTTATTTGTGTAGGAGCACTTATCAAATGGTGTTGTATTTTTCATTTCATTTTTCATATCTCTTCCTCATCAGATTATGAACTTATCTAATGCTTTTTAAGTTTCTAGCATTCACCATTAACCCTATTATGTAGTAGACACTTAGTGTTAGCTGATGAATGTTGTCTGTCTATAAAAGTTATATGTAGACTAAAGGAAACTATGTTTAGTGTTCTTCCAGCCTTTATTGAAAAGATGTTATAAAATATATTAGGAGAGATTGGAGAAACCCCAACAAGAATAGAATTAGTTTTATTGTTTGACC